CCCCCGGGACAGGAAATTCATTCCTGCAGCAAACATGCACCACTGCCTGTCTCTAGCACGCTCAGGGTCACAAAGCTCCTCAGAGAGTTCAGGAGCAGCGGGAGGTTAACACCCCATTGTACAGAGGGGGAAACTGAGGCACAATGAACGGAGGTCACACTATGAATGAGTTGAGAATTGGACCAGGAGTCCTGACTCCCACTCGCCTGGCTCTACCATTAGCCCCGCTCCGTCTGAGCACTGGGAGGAGAACCCAGGAGTCCTGTTTCCATCCTCCCTCCTCTCCCCACCAGGCTCCTCTCTGCCACCAGAGCAGAGAATAAAACCCAGGAATGTTGACTACTAGCCCCCTACCAGGGCTAGGAATGGAACCCAGGAGTCCTGATTCTCTGCCCACTAAACCCCACTCCCCTTCCATGGCCAGGACTAGAACCCAGGCATCCTGACTTGCAGCCCTGTCTGATCTAACCACTAGACCCCACTCCCCTTCCAGAGCTGGGGATAGAACCCAGGAGTCTTGAGTCTTGACCCGCCTGCTCTAACCACTAGACCACAGTCCCCTCCCTGAGCCAGGACTAGAACCCAGGCGCCCTGAAGCCCAGGGCTGTGCCTTAATAACACAGGGCTGTGGCTCCCTGACACCTGTTGAGAGGTGGCAACCCCTGCCCCCTGGCAAGCAGCCCGGCCTTAGCGCTCCGGTGCTGGGCTGTCTGCAGATTCAGGCAGGCATCGCTTGGAGTTTTCAGGGTTAGCTCACAACCGTCAGGGGTAGGGACACAAGGGAGGGTGCTCGCGACCCTGTTTGGATGGCCATGGTGGGTCGTGACCCCCAGGCGGAGAGGGTCGGGTGGGAGACGGCAACAGACAGCACGGCCTCCCCAGGGATTGCCCCAGCTGCAGCCGAATCCCCCGGCTCAGGTCGCACAGCAGCTCGAGATGCCATCAGGAGACAGGAAGCTGGCAGGAAACCGCCCCGTTGCCTGGGGAACCATTCATCCTTTACTCAGGCAAGGCTTTGTTTTCTTAATGAATGAGAAGATGCTGGGGGAGGAGGAGCCTTGGGGGGGCAGGAGGGTTTAGCGCCCATAGTATGGCCGGATCTCACTGCCCAACTGAAACCTGGTGCAGTCTCCAACCTGGTGGGACATCCCCTCTGCCCCCCAACCCATGTTCCTCTCAGTAGGGCAGGTTCTGCCCCGGCACAGCTCTGGGGGCTTCAGGATCTCACTTAAGTTGGAGACACCCCATTAGGCCCCATCAAATGTATCTATTATTATCTGTAGGACAGTAGCATCTCGAGACACCAATCAAGATGAGGACCCCCATTGAGCCAGCCCCGGCACAGATCAGGACCCCGTTGTGCCAGGCGCTGCACAGACCCCAACCGAGATCAGGGCCCATTTTCTGGGCGCTGCTGAGACTCAGAGTGAGAGCCAGTTCCTGGCCAGAAAAGCTCCCACTCTAGGCAGACACAGAGAAAGGCAGAATTATTATTATCCCCATTTTACAGATGGGGAAACCGAGGCCCTGGGGTTCAAGGCTGGGAGAGCAGAGCTGCCAAGCCTCATGGAATGTCAATGGGATCTGGGGGCATCTAGCTCGGCCAGGCTCCTTCGCAGACCCCAGTGCCGAGGTGCTGCCCCGGGGAGCTGGCAGGCGGAGCAGCCCCAGAACCACACCTAACCCGGGAGGAACTGCAAGAGGAAGAGCGGGGCTGACCTCTCACAGTGCGAGCGCTCTGAAGAGGAAGTAGGGGAGGCGGAGGGCAGATGGCAGATAAAGGAAGAGGCTTCAAATGCACACGCTAGGCAGAAAGTGTTGCTTTGGGGTTTTTTTCTGCTGACTTGCAGATCAAGGGCTGGGGCTCAAGATAGTGCTGTTCTACCCCACTTGTCCTCGGGCCTCCCCAGGTGCCTACGTGGGACAGGACTGGGTCCCTGCTGCTCTGAATCCTGCTCCCTGCAAAGGAATAATCACACCCCCTTAGCATCCATGGATCCCAAAGCACTTTCCAAGGCAGGGCAGGCTCATTAGCCCTGTTTTACTGATGAGGAAACTGAGGCATGGGGAGGCAAAGTGACCCGCTTCAGCCACCCAGTGGCAGAGCCAGGAATAGAAATCAGGGTCTCTGCAATCCCAGCCCAGTGCTCGAGCCACTAGGCCACGCTGCTTACCCCTAAGCGCAATTGTTTCCCCAGCAGCACTTTTATTTTCATGGGGAAGTCAATTGGGTGTGGGGGGGATAAATGAGTTTGTACATTGCAGTTATTATGGAAGGGGCCCGAGGTGCTAGGTGCTGCACATACGCACAAAGGCAAGAGAGCCCTTGCCCCAAAGAGCTCCCAGGGTGAACTGACCAGAACCCCAGCCCAGCGCTCTACCCACTCGCCCAGCCTCTGCATTTCAGCCAGCGGAATGTATTTCAGCCCCGCTCTGATTAGAGCCCCCCGAGATCAATAGTTGGGCTTTGGAGCCCTGGAGTCGAAGGGCCAGACAGGACCACTGTGATTATCCTGGCTGGCACGGGCCAGAGAACTGCCTCCTGCTGGAGCTAGAACAGAGCTCTACAAACCGCCCGTGATGGAGCTCAACCCTGTAGCCAGGATTCGCACCAGTGTCCCGTCCTCCCCGAGTCCCATAGCCCATCCAGCCTCTCTCGGCCTTGCTCCCCCAGCCCCGGCCTGACTGGGGCTGCCCCCTGTCCTGGTTTTCCCACAATCGTCCCTTTCTGGAGGTAGCTGTCCTGAGAAATCTGTCTGGGTGCTCAGTGCACCTGTCTGGGAATGAGCGACACTGGGAATGAGCGACAGGGGATGGATCACTTGATGATTCCCTGTTCTGTTCATTCCCTCTGGGGCACCTGGCATTGGCCACTGTCGGAAGACAGGATACTGGGCTAGATGGACCTTTGGTCTGACCCAGTCTGGCCGTTCTTATGGTCTTATGTTCTTATGTGCACACAGGCAGCTGGCCGGTGTCAGGGTCGGCGCAACCCATTAGGCGACCTAGGCGGTTGCCTAGGGTGCTACAATTTGGGGGGGGGGGCGACCGCGGTGGTATTTCGGCAGCGGGACCTTCTGCTGCCTCTGTGGGGGGCGGCATTTCGGGGCGGGACCTTCCGTCGCCTAGGGCGGCAGAAAAGCTGGCGGCGCTCCTGGCCGGTGTTATGGGAGCAGGCTCATCCTGGAGGTCCTGTTTTTCTGGGCCTCGGAGGCAGCAGCCATAGGCCTGGGGCCTGCTCGCACTTTTCCAGACACGTCCATTACTGGGCCTCGGCAGCAGGTCGCGATCGGGGCTGGCGGGACTCCGCGGCCGCTCCCCGTGCCGGAGGGCCCGATTGCCTGGTCACTGCTCCGGCCCCTTCTCATTACCCCCTGGATTACTCCGCGGGATGGCCATTTGGCTTGACGGCGCTCAGTCTTCCGGGCACCGGAGCTCACTGCCCTGGCCTGCCGCCCACAATGTTTGCAGAGGGCCGCGGCCACATGGATCCCAGACAGCCGGCCGCAGCATGTGTCTGTACTCCCTTCTCTCTCCGGAATAGCCAGGCCAGCGAGAGGCAACCAGCTGGGAAGCAGCACCTCTGATTCAGGGCATGCAAGCTGAGGCCAGGCAGAAATCTGCCCCACGCGCTTAGGGGAGAAGGGGGCTGCCCTCCACAGCAGCATGTACTGTCACGGGCCAGACAAGAAGTTAGATCTGACATGGCAGGAAACAGGATTCCAGGTTGTGTGGCTGGCTGATCTGGGGGGCAGGGCAGACAGGGGACTGGGCTGGGTTTGGAGCAATGGTGTGACCGGGCGTGGCAGGAGGGGCAGAAAGCAGCATGGGGTCAGGTGTGTCGGCTCAGGGCTCTGCCAGGCTCCATGTGGCCAGCGTCCCCTCCAGCCTGATGCTTTGAGAGCCTTCGCTGCCACAACCTCCCGCTGCCGGTGGAAGAGCCCACCCCGGGGTAGGCCCATTGTGCTCCGTTTACAGACTCAATGCTGGGATTTCTGAACAGCCGGGGCCCCGCACCTGCAAACCCAGGGGGGTTTTCTCTGACTCCGACCCCACCCTGGGAGTCCGACCCCTACACAAGGTACCACCGGTATCAGCCACGCTGCCTCGGCTCTGATGGGCTAGCAACAGCTCTTCAAAGCCCAGTGCTGCTCGGCAAAGGCAGGGAGCTTGTCTTGTGGTTAGAACAGGTGGGCTGGGAGCCAGGATTCCTGGGTTCTATTCCCAGCTGTGGGAGGGGAATGGGGTCTAGTGATTAGAACAGGGAGGGCGTGGAGCCAGGACTCCTGGGTTCTATCCCTGGCTCTGGGAGGGGAGTGGGGTCTAGTGGTTAGAGCAGCAGGGGGCTGGGAGTGAGGACTCCAGCCTTCTAGACCCAATTCTTGGAGGGAGCATAGGGCCTGGTCCTTCGGAAGAGGGAATGGAATTCATGCCTCTGCCACTGACTTGCTATATGGCCTTGCACAATGACTTTCCCCGCTGTGTGCCTCAGTTTCCCAATCTATATAGCGAGACTAACAAGATTAAAGCCGGGCCAGTGGGTAAGACACTGGACTGGGAGTCAGAACACCCAGGTTGTGTTCCCAGCTCCGTGACTCATCGTACGGCCTAAGGCAAGTCACTTTCCCTTCTCTGTGCCTCAGTTTCCCCCTCTGCTGAAGGGAGATTAAAAGCACCACCCTGGTGGGAAGGGGCTGATCCTTGCAGCCCTGTTGTGATCATTAGGCAGACGGGTAAAGGCTCCTTGTCTTGGCGAGATCAGGCTGAACCAAGGCCAAAGCGCCTCAAGATAAAGATCTCAGGAAGTTGAGAGAGGAAACAAAAATCTCCCCCGTATCTGACCGGCTCTGCCTGCCAGCCGGCTGTTATTTGTGTCTGCAGGGAGCAGTTCAAGCCCCGAAATAAGTCAGCTCCGTCAGCTGACGAGGGCGGGCCCCAGCGACGGTTCCTCAAGGAAGTTTCACTAAGGTTATCTCGTCAGTGTGCTGCCGATTCGGGTTTTTTGCTCTCCTCCATGCCAAAGCCTGCTCCGGCGGAGCCTGTATGAGCAGGGGGAGCCGGCGGGTGACAGCCGGGGACGCGGTGAGTGGCTTCTGCGCTGGCGAGGGGGCGGGTTGGCGGGCGCGTGGGGCATCCCGTCCCGTCGGGAACGAGGTGCGTCAGGAACGAAGGAGGGCTGTTTGCGGGGGATGGAGGGGTGTCGTTTTCAGTTCAGTTTCCACCGTAACGAGTTGCGACAGGCAGCGGCTCTGAGTCACCGAGGATGGAATGGGGGACGGTTGGAGATCAGGCTGGGACACGGGGCTGGAGCCTGGCACAGGTTAGTGCTGCAACAGGGCCAGGCGTCTCGCTCGCTTCCTTCCTCGCCCTGATCCTCCTGCCCTGCCTCCTCTCCAAATGCACCTCGGAGCGCCAGAGATGGAGGGAAGGATGGGGAGGATGCTGGCTAGGGGAGGTCTGTGCCGTACTAAGGGTGGTACAGGGAGGGGGGCAGGGAATCAGGACTCCTGGGTTCTATCTAGCCCTGGGAAAGGATGGAGTCCAGTGGGTTAGAGCCAGGGGGCTGGGAATCAGGACTCCTGGGTTCTGGTCTCACTTCTGGGTGGGGAATGGGGCCTAGTGGTTAGAGCAGTGGGGTTGGGAGTCAGGACTCCTGGCTTCTCGTCCTGGCTTGGGTGAGGAGTGGGGCCCAGTGGGTTAGAGCAGGGGGGGGCTGGGAGTCAGGAGTCCTGGGTGGGAAGCACCCAGCTGGGAAAGGTTTAACCATTTCCAGGCCAGGCTGCATGGCCCACAGGGGAAGCTGGGTTTGAGACCAGAAGCGGGGGCGGGGGGAGGCCAGGAGGCTTCTGAGCAGACACGTGGGTCTCACTCCACAGGCAGCTCTGCCTTTCTCTCAGCGAAGCAGGGCCTGTCCCAGGGGAGCCAAGGCTCTGCCTGCTGCCCTAGAGCTGCAGTGCTGGGAGAATGGAGGCTGCCCGCCCCGGACACCCCAGCTCCCCTGAGTGCGAAGGACGCTAGTTCCCCAGGCGATGGATGTGTGTCCCCGGTGGACAGCTGTGAATGTGCCTAAGGCAGGAGCAGCTGAGGCGGGGGGAAGGGAGATCTCAGCAGACCCACTGGCCCAGGCTAAATGCATCACAGCACCCCCTTCCCCTGCATCACAAGGTGCACTGGAGACCCACAGCCCCCAAGCCAGGGCACAGGGAGCAGTGAAAGGCTAGTGGGGCTGCGGAGGGTCAGGGCTTTGCTGGCCCACAGGGGGCAGTAAACCCCAATCGTGGCGGGGCTTCGGGCCTGCCGAGAAGCCGCTTTGCTTGGCCGAGGCAGGGCCCAGCAATGGTGCGGGTAGCTGATGTCGGTGGCAGCATTAATGCCGCCTAGCACCCCAGACGGGCGGCTGAGCGAGCCATCGGTGGGGGGGGGCGCGGGGGGCAGTTGCTGGCAGAGTAGAGAGAGGAGCCTGGCTGCATTGCTCTCCCCGTGGGCAGGGGAGGAGGGGTTAACAGGACATCGCCCTGGCTAAGATGATTGTAGCCCACCGGTCAGTGGAGTTACAGCCCCCCCGCCTAGCGCCTCAGCCTGAGCTGGTGCTTTGAGATCCCTGCTTCAATTCCCAGCATGTCAGCCAAGATGGTGGCTGTCCTGCTCCCCATCCCAGGGAGGCAGTGTTGCCTAGTGCTTAGAGCACTGGCCTGGGACCTGTGCTCTATTCCTGGCCCTGCTGCGGGGTGATCTTGGGGAAGGGACGTCCCGCCTCCATGCCTCAGTTTCCCCATCTGTGACACGGGGGTGACGATACTGACCTCTCTGGGGAAGTACTTTGAGAGCTACTGATGGCAAACGCTTGGTCTGATTATTACTGAGCTCTGGCACTCTGCCCCCGTGGGGTATCCCCGTGGGAAAGCCCGTTAGCTTTCTGATGGCCGAGCGCTGGGCCGGATGCTTGTCAGGGATATTAATAGGCAGGAAACTAAATTAAACCATCCTGAGAAGGCGATTTGGTCTCCTGGGCCGTATGCGGTGCCAGCAGCGGGGAGAGGTGTGTCTGGCCTTGCTGCTGGCTGGGCCTGTGCCAGGCATGCAGCTGAGTCATGCAGCTGACACTTCAGGGTTCTGAAAACCTAGCTGCCTCACAAGCCCTGGGATGATCATTGTCCCCATTTTATCCTGGGGGAAACTGAGGCATAGAGCGGGCATAACTTGAACAAAATGCTGCAGGCAAGTCATTGGTTGAGGCAGGACTAGAACCCAGGAGTCCTAGCTCATCACTAGGCCACACTCCCCTCCTGGAACCAGCAACAGAACCCAGGAGTCCTGGCTCCCAAGCCCCAGCCCTCATCGCTAACTACATTCCCTCCATGAGCTAGGAACAGAACTCAGGCGTCCTGGCTCCCAGTCCCCTACTCTCACCACTAGTCCTCGCTCCCCTCCCAGAACCAGCAATAGAACCCAGGAGTCCTGACTCGCCATCTCTAACCACTAGCTAACACTCTCTCCTCTATCTGGGAATAGAACCCAGGAGTCCGGGTTGGCACTGCCCCGCTGTGCCCACTTGACAGTGCTGCAGCTGTGGCACACCCAGACTCCAGTTTGCTCTGGGTTTGCTGGCGGTGGGGCCGGCACGCCAGTGACATTTCCCAGCTGTTCCCTTGCCTGAACTCTCCTGCCGCTGAGCATTTGCCTCCAGGCCGCCGAGGCTGCGGGCTACAATTCACCGCCTTGCGCCCAGGTTCAGGGCTGCGTGGCAGCAGGTCAGGCTGGCGGAGGCCCAGGCACACCCCATCAGGAGAGTCACTTCCTTGCAGACCCATCTGGCTTCGGTGGGAGCCCAGTGAAGAAGGTGCCGCTGTTCGCACGGGGACAGGGGCCACCGTTCCCAGCCCTACCTTGCGATGACACAGGCTGGGGCTAGTCCTGGCCGCCAGCCGCCAGACCCCAGTGTGGGTGACTAACCCGTGACTGACGGCTCTGCCCTGGGAGGAAGTCTCAGACCGAGGGGCAGCGGGAGGCTGTGACTCTCATCCCAGTTCCGGCACTGACTCACCGTGGGGCCTGGAGCAAGTCACTTCACCTGGAGGGCTCAGGGCGCAATGCAGGGATAATGGGGCTTTCTCCCCGGGGTTGGCAGCAGGCCGAGTTTGTGTTTGCAAAGGGCTCAGGAGGATTGTTGTGGCTTCCAGGTCTGCACTGGCACTTAGGACCTTTGCAAAGGCCCCGTGGGTCAGGATTATCGCCACTGTACAAATGGGGAAACTGAGGCCCAGTGATGTGCCAAAGGTCACAGGGCAAGTCAGAGCGAGGACTAAAACCCCGGAGTCCTGATGTCAAATCGCCCCCCTGCTCTACCTACCAGAAACACTCCCCTCCAGAACCCAGGAGTCCTGACTCCCAAGTCCCTTGCTGTAACCACTAGACACCACTGCCACCGTCCATGTGAAAAACCCCAAGCTGGGACAACCCGCTTACAGAGCCTGCCATTCATGGGCGCCATCCCCCAGTCCCTCCCCACCTTAGCTCAAGCCAGCTTGCAGGGCTAGCATTCCCCTCCGCCGGAACAAACGACTTCTCAAGGCCCCCTGGTCTGGCCGCCCCAGCTTCCTCCCAAGTGGCTGCATCCTTCCAGGAGCAGAAGGGGGTTCTGGAGGCTGGGGGAAGAGGATGCATCTGCTGAAGGCATCACCAGGCAGCAGGACTGAGCAGACTGCGCTGCCGGGCAGTTTCTGTGCTACGGGGCAGGAGTGTAACCAGGGCAAGCGGAAAGGCAGTGACCTGTGTGAGGTCACACAGCCCCTCCGTGGCAGAGCCGGGAACAGAACCCCGACGTCCTGACACCCCAGGTCCTATGCTGTGAGCAGTAGACGCCATTCCCCTCCTCAAACCAGGGATGGAACCCAGGAGTCCTGACCCCTAAGGCCCCCTTCGCTAACCACTAGACCCCACTCCCTTCCCAGAGCCAGGAATAGAACCCAGGAATCCTGACTCCCAGCCCCCCCGCTCTAACCGTTAGACCCCACTCCCTTCCCAGAGCTGGGACTAGAACCCAGGCGTCCTGCTCCAACCCATAGACCACACTCCCTCCACATAGCATGTCCTTCTCCAGGCTCTTTGGCCGAGAGCCGGGAGGCCCCCTTCCTTGCCTGGGCCGGAGTGGGAGATGGGCCGCAGGACTCCAGTAACAGACGGAATCAGGCAGCAGCCCGGCGCACGCAGCTAGTTGTCTCTAATGATCAGGTTCACCGGATCAGCCGCCGGCAGCTACACTGGTGAGCGACACGCGGCAAGGGTCTGCCCTTCCCCTGTGATTTGCCACGACGGCTGGCTGCACCGCTCCGCCTCATCGGCTCGGCAGGGCTGCCAGTCTCCCCGGATGAGATGCAGTCACTCAGCCAGTCTAATGAAAGCTACTGTTATCCAAACCCCGGGGCAGATGGTTGACTCGGCACACAGAGGATCCTGCTGCTGCCAAAGCACAGCCAAGCAGCTGTGGAGATCTCTGCACCTGCAGCCAGGGGCACAGAATTTCATCACATCCCCAGGGTGACCCTAGGCAGTGCTGCCTTCCTGAGTCTGCAAACAGGGCAGCCTGAATTGATAGCTGAGAGCGATAGCCCTTTAGCTCGGCAGGCTGTTGACTCTGAACCCTAATGATGCAGGTGCAAATGCTAAGGTTGTTTGCTTTTTTAGCCAGCAAAACTCCAGTTGCTTTCTGTGGGCTAAGCTTGGGGTTGCAGGAGGAGCTTGGGGCTAGTGGGGTGGAGCTGGCCTGAGCTCCCTCCATTCATGTAAATTACTTTGTTAACTCTGAACCATAATGATGAGAGGGTCAGTGTCACCATGGGTAACTATTTCACTGCTGAGCACCTTTTAAGGGAAGCATCCAGTTACCCTGGGGCTAGTGTGTGGAGTCTGAACTACCCCGTTTATGGCAATAGGTTTGTTAACTCTGAACCCCAATGATTATCATTTAAATGTCAATGTGGTTAATTATTTCACTGGTGGTCACATTTTTAGCCAAAATATCCAGTTGCCTTGCAACTGTGGTAAGAGTTTGGGGTTGGTCAGTGGAGTCTGAGCTACTTCCA